AAAAAAAAAAAAAAAAAAAGAGTAAGCCAGTCAGTCAACCTCAGCGGGTCAATGGATCCAACAATCAACTAACGACTAATATTGATCATGATTATGACATGACTTGAGAGTCCATATAATTATTAAAGTCATTCCAGTAATTGTGATAAACCGGAAGAGATGATTCTCAATCTCCGGGCCTTGGATATGGACCAGTATCTTTTAGAATGCCGTTCCTGGAATAGTTGAGTGGATAATGTAGGATAATCCACTTGCTGTTTCTCTGGTTCTCGAGAGTCAAGATTCCCGAAAGCAAACATGACCTGATCATCCATTATTCTCAAGCGTCTGAACGTGTTCTTGTCCCTTACCTTGATGGGCTGGGAATAATATAGGCGCTAATCCAAAGATATTTATAGCGATTAATATCCGGGGCGTCGTCAAACAACATTTGCTACGTCCTGAGGCATGAAGGCTTCCTAATAACCGTTACCTATCAACAGGTCCCAAGATGGGGAACTAGTAGGTACTTTAATTTATCTACCCTACTGCATCCACAACGTACGTGCGATTACAGCAATAATATGTAGGTCTCGTACACCACATACGGAATGGAGACACATATCACCTCTACTAACAACAATGTTGTCTTTTTCTTTTTATTTGTTTTTTTAAAGAGAACCATAATTTAGATTCCGACTGGTGTCTTCAAATTAGACCGACCAAGGGAAATGAGGGTTGCCAAGTCATCAGGGGTAAAGCGAACCACTGTTTCATCTCCCGGGACGGCAAGTTCACTAGAGCCTCTGGGGCGAGCCGATCGTCATCTTGAAGCGCCAGTGCGATGATTCCGCCGGGTTTGATTGGTCCTTGAGACGGGGTTACATGTTCGGCGCCCTCCGTACCCCTGCTACTTCCAACCCAGGGATTTATTATGATTGATGTTGACTTGCATATTTCTTGTGGTTCTCAACTGGGTTTTAGTCTCCTGCTATTTCATCTTACCCTAACGAATGACTTACAGCAAATAGAAAGCCCAACCGAGCAGTATCTATGGCAACAGTCGAACCCCCTTTACCCCCAACCTCCACTCCGTCCTCAACCATGGTAGGGGTGTCACTGACCCAGAGTTCTTTCTGCCCACCAATTGTGCTTGACTGGATGGTTAACTAATCGGAATCTTGATGGTTTCGCGAGCTTAAATTCTATATCCCTTGGTTTATCGATCATATTTTCGATCTATCTTATCTTCATTCTTTAAGTCCCGCATTCCACAGCAGATCTCCATTGTTCCGGGTTTAAGGTTCCCTGTCATAATTCAGCATGAGCTTTAGCTCGGTGAATAAAAATTGACACCAGCACTGCATAGGTATTTATATGTGCACAACAGTGGGGTATAAAATATACAGGGCTGGGTCCCTCCAGCAAGGATATCCCAGCATTCAGAGCAATTCATTCCAATAAAGGCGATGAATAGCGAGGTGTACGGAGTACACGCAAAGCATTTAGTCGGAGAAATTCGTCATCAACAGGCCATCGTACCTTTCTCAGTGGAAACATAGTGTTGTACTTTTCCATCCTCTATCCGACTTAAATTACTCCGTACAATCCAGGGCAATCTCGGATTAGCCGACCTTTAAACTTTCGCCTCCAGGATCATCCTAGTACGGGCAACAGACAAATGCTAATAGACCTGCGGTTCCTGAGCGCTCACACGAAACCCTATAGAAGCGGCGGTACCTATTATAAGTAGAGGCTGCTCATAGAAATATGTTAGAGCCATGCACGACTAGTTTAGGGGGTCTATTTCTTGTTATACAAGCTGAATTTATTCTCGGAATCGACCACTCGTTTGGTTTTTATCATCTTTATATACAAAGATAAGAACCCCTTTCAAGAAGTTGCACAGCCATTATACATTATGTGTATCCATGGTTAAACATATCTAATCCCTTCAACTATGTATGTGATACTTAACCCCAGTGCATCCAGTTTCCTACCAACTGGTGTTCTCCTTTTGTCTTTCGATCTCTTATTATTCTCCTTGAACCTCGTCAACGGCATGTTGCTCCCACTATCTTTGTAGCGGCACGATTAATGCCGCCTGGTACATGAATTAGTCTAACAAAGCAATCGTTTCCCGAATTAATGCACTGCTACGGTTAGTTAACAGACAACAAGGAAATACCAACGGCTCACTTACCGGAGATTGAGCATCACAAGACTCTTCGTAGACTTTGCTAGGTATGTGGAATCCTACCTTGTACTCCGATCCTTCTACAGCTTTACATACTTGCCTCGGCTTTTCAGTTGACTTTGCTGGTACCATCACCATGAGACAGATCTTTCCTACAGTCAGTTATGGAATCTGTGATCATCTCGTGGCTTGGTTGACTTACACCTGGGATAGGCGGGAGCTCCTTAGAAGCTAAAGGGTGAAGTTCGGGCCGCCGGGCAGGCAGCAGACCGCGGGAAGGCTTCACACCTGCAACGTTGGAGGAGAAAAAGGAGAGGATGAGGATAGATATGACAGTAGTTTTCATGCTGAGACACTTCTGATCATAGTCAGTATAAGAGATTCAGGTGGAACATACGGCACTCACCTGGTAGGATAGAACACATTCTAATTGAAGTAATTTATAACGTAAGAGAATTCATCCTTATAGAATGATCTTTTGAGGGTCAAGACCATAGATGGTTTTCTAAATATTGCAGTTTTCTCAGAGCCCCCTGCCCCGGGCACTTCAGAGTTTCTCACCGTAACATGAACCAGGTAGTACTTTCAGTAAAGAAACTTTATTGCCATGCTTACTGTAAAGATTAGATAAATACAAAAATAACTATACGAGCTGTCCATCCCAGGGGTGGTAAGCCTATAAAGTCTGCTTTCTGCCCACACCTTGCCAATGGAATATTTTCTACTCGGATATTGGCTGAACATTTGGACCCTACTGCGGAGAAGATTTCTCTTACGTAGCTTATTATTGGAGGTATCCACCCAGTAAGTAGCGATGCGGAGATTCCGAGATACATCTACTCCATACGTACTCCGTATTCCGTACTTAATCATTGATAGGCTGGAGAGTGGGCCTCGATCAAGGCAACCTACTATCCACATGACAGGGCAAAGCGAATAGAAATATTCATGAAATTTCTCGTGTTCAATGCTTAAAACGGATAGTTCTTTCAAATATCTAATATGACTTTCGGACATAAAGTATGTTCCATAATAGGTATGTACAGGAATCTCATTTTTAAACATTAAGCCCGCTGTAACTGACATAAAGCTCCGAGTGACAGGAAGATCATGAAATGATGATCACAGGATTTAAATTCAATTCTTCAAAAACAAAACAAAGAAAACAAAATAATAGAAAGTCGAGAGTTACGCCCAAATCCCCGCATATCTTTATCATGTGTTATTCAATTTTTCCCCCTTGACATGCTTATTCCACCGAGCGACGTTGTGTTCGGAGCACCATAGGCGGGCGGTGGTGTAGGGGTGGGAGATGGACGTCTGGCAACGGGATCCCGTCCACCTGGTCCTGAGGTGCTATTGCTCCGTCCTCCTGCAGCCGGGGGCACATCCCCGCCGTCACCACTACCGACTAGAACTTGCTTTCCGTTGCGCATGCGCCCGACAACCATACCCTTAGCTACGGACTTGAGGACTGCCTTACGGCTGACCCCCGTGGCATCGATGTAGGCCAGTCCGACATTTTTCACACCCCCGGTCAAGTCGCTCGCCACGGCGCCAGCTTCAGCTCCATACCGGTGCCCGATCATCGTACTGGCAGCAGCAGAGCCGTGGGTTAGTACGGTGCGGGCACTCTGCTCAATACCGTCTGCCAGTGTCGAGAATGCGATCATTGATTTGTTTAGTATGCCCGGCTTGTAGTCGCCGTTCACTGCCTTGTCGCCTTTGCGCCTTGCATCAGGGTTGCGACGGGTCAACGAAGCACCGAAGTTCTGCGCAACCTTACCGACCTGGCCAACAGTCTTGGCTGAGAGGCCGGCGGCACCATGAGTGAAATTCCCAACCTTACGAACCCTTGAGTGAGTGGCCTCAGAGAAAGTCATTGGCTTCGGGTTAGGTTTGGTTTTTTTGGTAAAGGTTTCGGCCCCACTACTCATCATATTGGCAACATATGAAGAACCAGTCACGATCAGACGAGAGGCCGTAGCAGAGGTTTGGACCAGTGTTGAGTTCTTATACGCAGGGTGCCGGGCCATCTGCAAGTATTCCTCAGACACGTTACTGACACTGACTTTGTTGCCTTCGCCTTCCGCAGGGAGTTCTACCTCCACCGGCCCTAATGAAAAGTTAAGCATTGGTCACGCCTACAGAGAATATGACTGACTTACTCTTAGAGCCAGGCGTCACACCAGGCTTCTCAACCACATCATAACCTTCCATTTCACCAACAACACTGCCATCCTCTTCATCAACAAGCACTATCCGCCCATGAGGGTCCTTCCGATCAGGACTCGTGGACGAGACATAACCTGCACCTGGCGCAAAGTCTGCTGGGTTGTACGGAGCATGTTCTTTTGGTGGGGCTGCACGCTCCAGGAATGCGGTACACTGTGCCAGAATGGTCTCAAAAGTATCCACATCTTCCTGAGATACCTTATCGGGGCCGCTCCCGATGGCCGGAAATTGTATGCGAATGAACACGCCTGCATCTGGACCCAAATCCCAGCGGGGGATCAAATAGCTGTTCGGTGGCTGATGATAGATCTGAGTAGAGGCTGGGAGTGCCAGATCCAACTCCGGAGGGAGATGAAGATGAAGATAGAAATCTTCTTCTGCTGGTGCATCATGAGAGCTCTGAGGTGTAGAAGTACTTGTCGGAACCATTAAAAGGGAAAGGGTTTGAGGCCCTGATGGGGTGAGCTCAGATTGTTCGCCATTTTGGATATGGAAAGCAGTTATGTTGTTGACGCTGTAGAGAAGGCGAGGGTCATGAGCGGTGCCCGACATGATATTGATAGAGTCTGAGATAAAGTTGTACCCCTGTTTATTACCCAAAGCGGATGTCTGTTGGTACTGCGGGGAAAATGACAACAGTCGTTGGTGTAAAGAAAGACGGAATGCTCTGGCGTGATGATCTCTAAACAAGAAGTCACTGAGAATAATGTAGCCGTAAAAAAGATAATCAAAAGGTACTCAATCTCTGGAGGACAGAGGCAGCAATATATCTCTGTCAAGAGAAGTCTTGGTCTTCCTGGAGGGGCGCGTCGTCACAGCCAATGACGTTGTCAAAGTGACAATGTACTCTAGATTAGGTAAGCATTGGGTCACCCCTTTCGGGTCTCAACATTGCTGCGCCACCGTGTCATGAAGAATGCACCGCCACAAGGTCGATCGTCTTTTGTGCCATGAGTGGCTTGAAGCAAATGGAAACAAACTTCACCAACAATTTGCATGTGAATATTTCGTCTCTGTTGGGACATTCCTGAATATTCTGTGTCTGTCGTTCGCTGGATGTGCCTCTTGCTGGTCGGGGATTCTTCCGCAAACCAGAGATACGATCTTTCCCAACAGCACCACGTAGCTACTAGGCAGTGCTATTTCCGTCACAAGCTCCAGTTTTTCAGTATTAGTGGCGCTTAACATCAGCTCTCAAGACACAGATATCTTGCGTCGAATGGCGTCTTTACAGATCCTGTCTGACCTCCACCTGGAAGCCCCCAAGGCGTACGATTTATTTGACATCGCTCCCAAAGCGCCCTACCTGGCGCTTCTGGGCGATATCGGCAATGTCAAAGACGATGGTTTGTTTATCTTTCTTGAAGCTCAGCTTCAAAAGTTTCAGATCGTCTTTTTCCTCTTAGGAAACCACGAGCCTTACCATTCCAGTTGGACGACTGCAAGGGAAAAAATGCAAAACTTCTCTAACACTATTTACCAGAAACGAACACAGGAAGGTCAGCACCTGGGGGAGTTTGTGTTTATGGATCAGGCACGCTACGATATCTCCCCTCACATCACCGTTCTGGGCTGCACACTATACTCCAGAGTCCCCAAAAGCCAAGAGACTCATGTTAGCTTTGGCCTTAATGATTTTTATCACATTGAGGATTGGACTGTTGAGGCCCATTGCGCCGCCCATGAGGCTGATCGAACATGGCTTAACGATCAGGTTTCTCATATTGTGAAGTCGGAACCCCGTCGCAAGATAGTGATATTAAGTCATCATAGTCCAACCCTTGCCGCAGCCGCTGTTGACCCCGTGCATGCAAACAGCCTTATCTCTTCAGGGTTCGCAACGGACATCGCAGAAGAACCATGTTGGAAGAATACTCAGGTGTGTCTGTGGGCATTTGGACATACGCACTACAATTGCGATTTCGTAGATGACAAGACTGAGAAACGACTTGTGGCGAATCAGAGGGGGTACTACTTCGCTCAGTCGAAGGCGTTCGATCCAGAGAAAGTGGTCAATGTTGAATAAATGGAGTAGATCATGACATAAAATCAGATCACCGGAAGATTATCTTTGTTCCGTAGTAAAGCGAAATTGAGGAAATTCTGGTCCCGCGGGCCATTGAAAGTAAGGCCGCGGGCAAGCCATGGGGAAGCAAGCAAGCTTACATGCTGGGGGCCGCGGTTAACCGAGGTTCATCTGCGGCGCCCTCGTGATTTCGCTCCAACACCCTCTTCTTCCCCAGCTCACTTCTCCTCTCTTTTCTTTCCCCCCTCTTTTCTGTGCAGTCAAGCATTTGATTCCGTGCGTTTAGCTAATTTTAACTTACCTATTTCAGTCCCCTGCGATGGCGTCCATCACCCGTGCGTTGCGGCCTTTGTGCCGGACTACTCCCTCCTTCCGCATGGCCGCAAGACGGCCATTGCCCTCTCATTTAGCTCGGAGGTGTGTTTCCCCAGTAGCATGCTCACTACTGCTTTGTCCAATAGCATGGGCTCTCAAAATGTGTGTGCATGTCATCACTAACTACCGTTGAATATACAGTACCCATGCATTCTCTACCACTTCCCGCCGGCGGGATGTCGACTTGTCCAATCTGACACCAACCCCAATCACCCTTCTTTCCGAAACAGAGTCGATGATGGCCGACACAGTGTCAAAGTTCGCTCAGGAGCAGATTGGACCTAAAGTCCGAGACATGGATGAGGCGGAAGCCATGGACCCGGCCATTGTCGAGCAACTGTTCGAGCAAGGGTTGATGAGTATTGAGGTCCCCGAGGAATACGGTGGAGCGGGTATGAACTTCACATCCGCCATCGTGGCGATCGAGGAACTGGCAAGGATTGACCCTAGCGTCAGTGTCATGGTCGATGTTCATAACACACTCGTGAACACGGCTATCATGAAATATGGTGATGCCCAGGCGAGGCGGACGTGGTTGCCCAAGCTGTCCACCGGCACTGTGGGTTCATTCTGTCTGTCGGAGCCTGCGTCTGGATCGGATGCTTTCGCTCTGCAGACCAAGGCTGAGAAGCTTACCGATGGATATAAGCTGAATGGTTCGAAGATGTGGATCACCAACGCTATGGAATCTGGTGTATTCATCGTCTTCGCCAACCTTGACCCCAGCCAAGGGTACAAAGGTATCACTGCCTTTATTGTTGAGAAGGATACACCAGGGTTCTCTATTGCTAAGAAGGAGAAGAAGTTGGGCATCCGCGCCAGCAGCACCTGCGTGCTCAACTTCGACGACGTGGTGATCCCCAAGAGCAACCTCCTGGGTGAAGAAGGACAGGGCTACAAATATGCCATCAGCGTTCTTAACGAGGGTCGCATTGGTATTGCTGCTCAGATGACTGGGTTAGCACTGGGTGCCTGGGAGAACGCTGCCCGGTAAGGACATCTCGGACGTGCTTTTTTGACATCATGCAGAAGAACTTTTACTAACTTTCGACGACAGCTATGTCTGGAACGACCGCCGTCAGTTTGGCCAGCTCATTGGAACCTTCCAAGGTATGCAGCATCAGTTGGCTCAGGCCTACACTGAAATTGCTGCAGCACGTGCTTTAGTTTATAATGCCGCACGCAAGAAGGAAGCAGGTCAAGATTTCGTCCAGGACGCCGCAATGGCCAAGCTCTATGCATCACAGGTTGCAGGCCGCGTATCCGGCTCCGCAGTAGAATGGATGGGCGGAATGGGCTTTGTGCGCGAGGGTATCGCGGAGAAGATGTTCCGTGATAGCAAGATCGGCGCTATCTATGAAGGAACCAGCAATATCCAGCTGCAGACCATCGCGAAACTTCTGCAGAAGCAGTATACTAACTAAAACTAACTAAATGTGGATCACTGTTATTTTTGATATTGCTAGATACCTGGCGTGTGTCTTTGAGGGATGTAGTCGCTTGGTGACCGCAAGATACATGATACACTTCTGCAGATATTAGAGTTATGAACAGTTTGTATAATGAACTAGCATTGGGTTTAAAAAGAGAAGAAAAACAAAGAAAAACAGCCGGCAGTTGAACATTCTATTTATAGACAGACTTTTGCTGTAGAGTGATGTGATATGTTTTATCTGATAAGTCGAACCCGTTCGATAAGGCCGGACATACTACTCTGTCCCTTACTTTAAATTTGGCCTTTGGTGGGGTCGAAAGCGTCAGCACCGGTATGCCGAAGGATTTTACTGTATAATTCATTCCCTCGTTTCTGAGCTCATCGGTGTTCTAAAAAAAAAAAAACCCCCGGGCAAACCTAGTACATATTCGAGGTATCGTGAATGCCCGAGAGCCCTGCACCGGAATACAGAACATATTTACTTCTAGACTTCGTAATGTAAATGGTTTGGCAGTTATCATTAATCATTTCCGTCAGGCGGGTGACTGATCAGTTTCTAGGTATTATACTCCAGTCTATCACTTTTATGATAAGAGAAAGTAGCCCGCTATAGTGTGTAATGCCGAATCTGGAGGCCCATAGCGATAGTGAGTAAGGTGCCATTCAAAGGGCCTTCCATGCATTTGAGCCGACAGTAGAAAAGAAGAATTAGTTACCACGGCAAGGGGCGTTTAAGACCGGCGTACGCATTGATAACCCATGGACAGGTGGTACAGAAGGTCGAATGTTTGGTCGTGCGTCAACCGCACGGCTCATCGCGTACTGGGTACCGGTGGCAAATTTGTTCGTAGGTATTTAGGCCCCAACTAAAAAATACCACCTTTAATGACCACCTGCCAACGGAATCACTGTCGACGATCCCAGTCATAGTTGTAATCGTTTCTTGGGGGTTGTTCCGGGACTTGTTGGTATTGTTGGGGGGCATGAATAACGGGATACACACGAAGTTCCCGTTCTGATGGTATAGTTGGCACGGACATTGAGCGTTGACTCGTCGCACATTGCACGACGTGTTGAGGGTTGTGTGGATGCTCCCCTCGGCGTACTTGGCTGGGACCACCTCCAGGGTACAAGTGTGAATATGAGTTGAAATTGGAATCAGGAGGACGACCGCCGGGGCGATTAAAGCTAGCTTGGTGTGCTGCAACAGTCATCGGGTTCGACGTTTGTAACTGGCCTTCGAACATAAAAGGTTCTACCCTATTCGAGTAATCTGCGTCCGACGATTCACAGATAGAAGGTGACCCTGTGGAACCGTACTGTTGCCAGTCAGGCGCAACAGAGACTTGGCTGGATGCCGAAAGAGCCGATGGGGTCCTGGAAACTGGATTTACACTCAAGGGTTCAGTGAATTGAGAAGGAAGCACTGGCCCGGAAGGGGTATTGTATGAGCCCTCGGCTGCTCCAGAGACGGTCAGTCATGATCGCATTGCAACCGCACCACATGACAAGCGGCAAGGACGATATCACACACCTGGGCTTGAATAGGCTTGTCCGCTTCTTGCCAAAGCTAGCTGTTGTTTTAAAGCCCTGATCTCGTTTTCTAAGGCAGTGTTTCTTCGGACAACATGATCATATTGTTCCCCTTTCAATTTTAACTCCGCTACTTGGTGCTCCAGACGTTCGATATGCTCCTTTGTCCGCTGACGAATAGTCCTTTGGGCTTCCCGATCGTTGGCGCGCTTTCTTTCGAGTTGTTCTGCCGAGAGAGACGTCACCTTTCGCGTCCCAGCACGGGACTCTCGTTTCTTAGGCTGGGGGTCTGGGATGGAAGCCATCATGTGCTTGCTATAGTGGCCGACTGAGTGTCCGAGGGTGAGGGGTAGCGCGTCCTTGGGGGATGACAAGCATAAACATCGAAGAGATGAATGTGATACATCCCAAGTTTCTGGGGCGGGCTACAGGGATCGTATCATCCAGGACCTCAGAATTCGACTTTGGTTATGCCATGTGCGTGGATCGCACTAAAATATGGTGTGCATGCCCAAGCGAACGAGGGAGGAACCACTTGATAGAAAGCGGGTGGATAGAGGAGAAGTTGTATCCTTCGTTTTGAGACGGCCACGAAAAAGGCTCGTTCTTGCGGGAAGGTGAGCCCGCAAAGCCTCATCTGGCCGGGTACTTTTGGAACTAGGCACATTCTGGGCCTAAAATACCTAATAGTAGCTTGGGTCTCCAGATTGTCGCTAAGAGTAAGGGTCGATACCCGAGCAGATGAGCTCCCAACAATTAAATCCCCCTGTTAAACAACGGTCCCTCGGCCGTGAAGAACGCCAATGGGCGTGCGCAGAGGACAGAAAACCCTGTAAGAGGGGGCGTCGATTACGACGGGTGTAGCGCCTTTCCTCCAACGAGTTATTACGATGGGTCTGGCGCGATGCTATGTGCATTTTCCGGCCCTCCCGACCTACAAGTTCTGTTCTAATTTGCAATTAGCAATCCCCCGACACCCTTACCTACTATCCTAACTAATAGACGGGCTTGCTTGACGCTGGAGTCTTTCTGATAGGCCGGAACCAGTCATGCATAGTAGTGATACTGCGCTGCGCTACCCATGTATCGAACTGGGCTGGCTGGCATTGCTTTTAGAGAGAACTTCGGTCTTCTTGAACTTTTATCGAGCCGATAGCCGTACAGACAGAATCTATCAACAGGTGGACCCGAGGAACCCCAGGCCACATGGTGAGACTGGCTCAAAACCTCCAAGAAAATCGAGAGCCACAGGAAACTGAGATATTGTTTCCACCGATGAATTTTACCGGAATTTGAAACACCCAGAACCGTAAAGGACGGTTCGGTTCTTGGTTCCCCCCTGCGAAAAGAGGAAGGAGCCTGCCATATTTCGCGCGTAAGGGTTTCCCAAACTGAAGCCCACTTGCCCACGAGGTGTGGAATGCATCGGAAACGATCATCAGCCCTTTATTTGAAAATAGAGAGTGATTCCCTGGGATCTGCCGGTCTTGGCGATTCCCAGATGAACGAGAAGCTCTTTGGTCAATAAGATTCAACGAATCGTACGTCATCCATTTTAGCGCCAGAAGCCGGATCACTTTCCTATGCCCAACATGGAAGGCTGTATCCAAACTTGAGCGTGGGTGTAGCCCTCTCGGATCTTGGACGGAGCCTTGAAACCATGGGTGGTGCTGACCACGAGGCAGGTAGATCGACTCCACTTGCGAATGGACTCGTTCAAGTCTAACTACGATTCGTTGGGCCGAAGCGGAAAAGATTAGAGGGTCCATAAAGGTTGCCCCAGCTCATCGAGAGGCGGCAGAAGTTTGTTGGACCAACAAGATCCCGAGAGTTAAGTTAATCCTCCGTAAGAAATCGTCCTTAGTACTGGGGAGAATGACCAAGGGATGGGGGGAAACGAAGGGGTGGTCAAAAAAGAAAAAAAAGAAAAAGAAATTCCTATTTCTCTTTTTGGGTGCGGCGCAGTCAACAGGAGGCCTAATTGATGCATGACGCACCCACAAATGTCCCTACGATGGTTAGTAGTCTAGAATTCATAATTGATGGGGGTAGAGATCCCACCTTTTTCTTTTTTTTTTCTCGTTTCTTTTTTTCCTTTTTTTCCTTTTTTCCTTTTACTATTATTATTATTTTTTTTTTTTTTAGAGGCCCCCCTTTTTTCCACAGACCCGTTCGGTTATTTGAAATCTCCGAATCATTGTCCCCAAGATCAATTTCTGAATCTCCTTTACGAAGTATATGTCACATATGACGTATAACAGCGAGGTATCAGGGAAAATATTGTTGTGTTCCCGATGTTATTGACAGTGCCGAGAATACCCCAGAGTGCGCAAGTGATGTTGGTCTAAACAATAGCATGCAGTGGATGTTGTATTAATGCCGTGTGTGGTGGGCCCCTATCATTGCTGCACAACATTTCAGAATAGCCTAACAGCATCTGCGCCTTTTTGTTGGCGAAAGTGGTCGTTTACATTCCTGGAAACCGACGATGATCGACTTCGCGGAGTTCGGAATCGACAGGTGGTTTTGTGTGAATGACAGACATGGGTATTTTGAGAAGCCTCCCTGTTTCAAATATAATCCAGCCTCTAATCTCATGGTTTATTAACGTTAGTCACTATTCCTGACCATCAGAAAGCAAGGGTAGCGTCGCTCCCGTACCAATCATTGACCATCCTCCACGCAACTGGTTCATAGTAAGTTGGTTCTGGGATGCAGGCTTTAAGTCTAGTGTTGAACTAGAGAATCTTCCTCCGTTCGATGGTCGACACTATCCATGGTCAAAGACTTATGGGACTGTTGCCCCTTGGTATCTCGTGTCTCTTACGTAGACAGGGTGTGTAGCCAGCCATATGTCCCATGGTATGCGACCTGGGAGATCAAAAGCGATTAGAAATAAATAAATAAAAATAAAAATAAAAATAAAATAGACCCGACGTTGGTGGACACGAGTCATGACTTGATGCTAAAAGGAAAGTTAAGTACGAGAGGGGTCTTTTAAGTTAGTTAGTTTCTTTTTGCTTCACCCCTTGGCCCTTTTTTCCCCCAACCCTCTATGCCATTAACTGGCGGCTTGACGAGATATGATATTCTTCACTGTGAGATTGTCCAAGCAAGGATTAATTGAGCAGCGTGGCCTTTGTTTGACGAAGATGATACCAACGAGTCAGTCTAACTATGGCTATTGCCAGCGTTTGAGAGGCTCGCTTGTTCAAGTAAAGCAATGGGGAATCGCGTGGAAGTTGGCAGAATATGATTGATCGATCAACTGCGGGCAGTGAACAATTGCCATTGAGAAAGGGCAACCGGTGTAATCAGATTACCATACGCCGTAACAACGGACAGGCCCGCACACCCCTGCACTGTTACCTGAGTACCGTACAGTAATGTACAGGAATATGCTTTTCGATGCATTCCGATAGTTGTCATCTTATTATCCGACAGCTTTTCTCTCGAATGTGCAGCTTCTCGCTTGGTATGGGTCGACTGACGACGAGATTATATTCAAAATCTCCAGAACTGAATTGAATTGAGGGGGCTACTGGAAAGGAAGCTTTAACGCTCAGGCTCAGCAACATGGATTCGAGTTATAAAGCTCGAAAAGAGGCGTTCGTGTCTAATCTCGCAGGTGGAAGCATCCTGGAGATCAACGCCGTCACCCTCGTTGCTCCTGTGAGTGGCGCTCTTGACCTCGCTCTATGATTGCGCCTCAGCTAACACACTTAAACCAACCAGGCGTCAGTTCTTCTCTGGTCGGTGCTCCAGTCTCGTCTTTCCTTCTTCAATCCCTATGGTTCGCCGGCATTAATCACCGACTTCTCCCTGAACGTGTTGTCCATTCTCTTTGCAACTACACTCTATTCATCTGCGCCATGGACCCTAAATATCCTCCTAGCCCTTCCAGCTCTCATACTACTCTTCACCTCGACGCCTACCCGCACGCAACAGAAAGCTAAACCTCCGCGCCCATCAGCCGCAGCCAAGACGAATGCCCCAAAGCATGCACCTGACTCGTTCGAACCATTGCCCGTTCACCCGTTTCTCACAACATATCGTGCCGCTATGATGGTCATCACATGCGTTGCTATCTTAGCGGTTGACTTTCGTATCTTCCCTCGGCGGTTCGCTAAGGCTGAGAACTGGGGCACATCTCTCATGGATCTTGGAGTTGGATCGTTTGTATTTTCGAGCGGGGTGGTCTCTGCTCGCTCAATTCTTAAAGGCCGGAACAGTCATTCCAAGAAGGTTGCCCTGTGGCAGAGGTTGACAGCCTCCACACGACACTCAATCCCTTTGCTCGTACTTGGATTGATCCGGTTATACAGTGTCAAAGGTCTCGACTATGCAGAACATGTAACAGAATACGGAGTGCACTGGAACTTCTTCTTCACCTTGGGCCTCCTGCCCCCATTTGTGGAGATCTTCGACGCCCTAGCTACAATCATTCCATCCTACGAGATCCTGTCCCTCGGTATTGCGGTCCTGTATCAGGTAGCCCTGGAATCAACAGATCTCAAGGGCTACATTCTTGTCTCTCCCCGTGGGCCGGATCTACTTTCTAAAAATCGGGAAGGTGTTTTCTCCTTTCTGGGATACCTTGCAATCTTCCTTGCTGGGCGTGCGATTGGCATCAGAATCATCCCACGCGGAACGTCGCCGTCACGGTCACCTCAACAAGCCAGGAAGAGTGTGCTTATTAGTTTGGGACTGCAAACTCTGGTTTGGACAACACTTTTTGCATTTAATTCTACGTATGCGATGGGTTTGGGGGCCAACATCCCAGTTTCGCGCCGTCTGGCTAACATGCCTTATGTGCTCTGGGTGTCCGCCTTCAACAATGCTCAACTCTTCCTTTTCTGCCTCCTCGAGAGTGTTTTCTTTCCCTCCATCCATCGGGAAACTGGGAAGGACGGCGAGCTCGAACGGACTTCATTTGCGACAAGCCGCATCTTGACAGCTTTCAACAAGAACGGACTAGCATTGTTTCTCGTAGCAAATCTCCTCACGGGGGCTGTGAATTTGAGCGTCCCCACACTCGACGTCACCACTGCGCATGCCATGGCGGTCTTGATCGCATATGTGGCCATCATAACTGGTGTCGCATTGGCACTGGACAGAGCTAACATCAAGCTCAGCTTGTGAAAGCATAGAACTGCTTGTATACTAATTGTGTAGAATAATCATGGACAAATATGTATAGTACGAACTTTAAACTATAAAAAAATAAATACATCAATGGAGTCGATCAGTGATCTCTATGATGTGACATTGTGGCTTGGCGCTGGACCACATGCTGAACCGCGGTCCATTGATTGATCAACAGACTGATTTAAATCTATCATCGCTACATTTTCTCACGCTCCTCTCTGCTCTGGGGTCGAAAGATCGCCCACGTCTCACGATGAGTTCCCAACCGCAGTTTGTCCACTATCCCGAGATCCGTGAAGGACCGTCCGTCCCCTACAAGAATGAAGACCAATCGATCCCCGTCTTTCGCGGCCTCCCACTAG